GCCTGTAATCCCAGCCTTCGAAAGGCTGAGGCAGAAGGATCATTGTAAGTTCAAGGCCAGCCTGGGCCAGATAGTGAGACCCTGTCTTAAAAAGACAAAAAAAAAAAAAAAATTTAAGGGATGAAGATGTAATTCAGTGGTAGATTACTGCCGTAGTTCAATCCCGAGTACCACAAAATAAACTAAAACAAAAACAACAGCACAGTAACTAGAAAAATCAGAAAGAAAAAACCCCAGATGAGGTGACAGGTATGAAAGGGAGAGATTGGGGTGCTCCCCCCTAAGGAAAACAGTAAGATTTATGCTGCACAGAAGGCTAAGTAGAACTTGATGAGGTGAAGTGTTTGGGGCAGTTTGACCAGCAAGGTGGGGCTCTGGGTGGGAATCGTATTAGGGTCAGGAAGTAGAGCCAGGGTCCTTTGGGAGAGCCTCCTTAAAGATTCTGGTCTTTATTAAGGACTTCACACATGACTGTTTCCCATCTGTCCCATCTGTCCCTTTCTTTTCATCCCCACTGCCACTGACCTAAATCAAGAGTTTCTCTCCCAATTTTTCCTTTCCGTATCATCCATACCATTGCCCCCCCGCCGGTTAAACCTAAGGTGTCTTGCATGCTATGCAAGCACTTTACCACTGAGCTAGATTCCCAGCCCTATTTTAGAGTATGTTCTAAATCAGTCAAGTCGGCCCAAGTCTTTCTGTCTTGGCAGTGAGTCTATTACAGGATAAAATCCAATCTCTTCCTAGTCTGCTTCCAGTTTATTTTGCCAGGATCTCTTCCTTCTCAGGCCAGTGCTACCCAAGAGGCATCATATTCATGAATCCCCAACAACACTTGAAATTGAAGTAGATGTTTCTTCATAATCCTGAACCTTTGTAAACTATGCACTTGTGTATTTATTAAATATACATTTGCCTTGTTCCTCAGTGGTCACATGATCTTTCCATTGCCAGGAATACGCCACCCATTCTCTCCGGTAAATTTCTTTTCACACTTCAAGTTCCAGCTCGGATATCAGTCTCTAGGCTTTGTTAACCTTCCCACTTCCCAGAGAAGATTGATTGCTTCTTTGTCTGTACTCCTAAGGGACTTCACATGGATCTCTGTCCCAGTACAGTACTTACTTTATTATACCATAGGTGTCTAAGAAGCATAAGCTACTGCAATCAGCAAATACTCCTGACCCTGAAGAGTTGTTGGGATATTTAAATGGGACAATATATTTACAGTTAATATTTTCTTTCTTCATTCCTATCCTAATAACAACCTGCATTTCAGTTTACAAAGGATAAAGGTTTTGTTTGTTTTTTTGTCTTTTTTTTTTTTTTTTTTCGGTACCAGGGATCCAACTCATGACCTTGTACTTGCCAGGCAGGCGCTTATGCCACTGAGCTATATCCCCAGCCCTTTTTTGTCTTTTTTGAGACAGATTTTGCTGTGCAGTTCAGGCTGTCCTTGAACTCACTTTGTAGGGCAAGCTGGCTTTGAACTTGCAGTGATCCTCTTGCCTCAGCCTCCCAGAGTGCTGGGATTACAGGCGTGTGCCACTATGCCCAGCTACAAAGGATAAATTTTGATAGCATTCCCCATACTACCTTGATGGACCTGTGAATAAGCCTGTGAAATATGGATGGTATTATTATTTCTAGTTTATAATTGGAAGAAGTAAAGTATACAAGAGTTAAAAGTGATAAAGTAAAAAAACCCAAAAGTGATAAAGTAGGGGCAGGGGTGTAGTTCTGTAGTAGAGTGTGTGGGAGGTCCTGGGTTCAATCCCTAGCATGAGCATACACACACATAAAGTAATGTAGCTGGCTAAGTGGTATGTTTGCCACACAACAGTGCTCCAAACCAGGTGTGGTAGCACACACCTGTAATCCTAGCATTCAGTAGGCTGAGGCAGGAGGATCGATGTGAGTTTGAGACCAGCCTAGGCTACATAGTGAGATCCTGTCTTAAAAACAAAAAACAAAACAAAACAAAACAAAACAAAAAAAATGTAAAAACAGCACTCTAGCATTCTGTTAAAACAGAGTCAAGTTTTCTGGTTAAAAATTTTTTGATTTTTTTTTTTTTGTCTTTTTGAGACAGGGTCTCACTATGCAATTCAGGCTGGCCTTGAGCTCACTTTGTAGCCCAGGCTGGTCTAGAACTTGCAATGATCCTCCTGCCTCAGCTTCTTGAATGCTGGGATTACAGGTGTGCACCACCATGCCCTGCAAAAACTTATGATTTAAAAAAATCAACAATAAAATGCATACATTTATGCTTTACATATTTTGCCATGTGTATACACTGTGGGAAGACTGAATCAAGCTAGTTAACATATATCTTATCTTTTTTGGTAGTGAGAACCCTTAAGGTCTGCTGTCTTAGCAGTTTTCAAATGAACAATGCTTCATCATTAACTATGGTCACTATGATATAATTTCCTGAATTTAACTTCTGTAACTGAAATTTTATATCCTTTAACCAACATCTCCCCAACCTCTCTGTTAAGATCTTTCCATTAAGATCATAACTACTTCTTGTATGCTTTAGTTAGTACAGTACTCTTTTTCCAAAGTGCAGGTAGTCACCCATTATTGAGACTTTTTAAAGTAAAGTCACTGAGGTAAAATACCAACACGGGGAAAACAGAAAAATGTTTAGGGTACATTACATGTAATAAGGATGAGCAGAGTTCTCTGATACATGGTTGAATGTAAAATGTATTCCTCACAGTGGATCCAGATTTTTTAAAAGTATGAAAGCCCCTGTGCTATCACAATGCCATGTTCTAAATAACGTTTATTAAATTGAATTATAACGCTCTCATTTTGTTCTTTTGTTTCTTTAAACTGTTTCCTCCATTTGTAGCTACTGGAAAGCAAAGATCACATCATTTTTATTTTTATTTCCCAGCAGAATCCTTGCTATGAAGTTGGCACACAGCATGTGTCAAATGAAAGACTGAATAAATGAGTCAATGAACGAAGGGATAATACAGCTCAGTGCATATGGTTGAAAATGACTCTTGTTTCATTTCCTTCTGGAATCCTTCCTTCTGTACAGCGAGACTTGACACTGTTCAGTTACTAGTTTCTAAGAGCGCTATTTTCCTGCTTGGGGGAGACAATATGGGCAAGAATCATTAGTATTCTCCTCAAGAAGCACCGGCACTTGCCCTTTGTCAACATGGCATCCAAAATGACTTCAGGAAAGGGCGACGGAAGAGCTGTGTACCTTAGTCAAAATGGCTTCTTTAGCGTCGCTCTAAAGGAATGCGCACGCTTAATTCCATCCCCTCTCCGCCCCGTTGTCCTGGCGCGTGCGTTCTAGCATAGAGGAACGTGGGAGGAATAACTTTCTCTGTGATTGGTTGGAGCAGGATTTCAAACCGGAGCTGGCGGCTCGCTGCAGCTCTGCCGTTGGGTGAGGCGCGGAGGGAAGTGGAAGGCGGCCCAGGTGAGCCCCTGCAGTCCCGGCAGCCCCGGCAGCCCCGGCGAAGGGAACGCTGGGGGCTGTGAGACGAGGGTCGTTAACGCTGGACTGTGGCAGAAAAGGGCGCGCCCAACGTGGTGAGTCCCGGGCGCCGTGGCGGTCGGGAAGAAGGCAGGCGGCCCCGACGCCGCCACTGGGGCTTCCTGGGGGCGGGGGCTCTTTTCTCAACGTCGGGTTTTTGGGAAGTCGCCGGCGTCTTCTTGACGAGGGGCTTGGACCGAGCCGGGGCGCCCCAGCCCGCCCGGGTGGAAGCCGGGGTGGCTTTCAGTTAAACAGAACGTGCGAGCGGGTGGGGTGCCTCCCCTCCGCGCACGTTGTCGGAGGTGCGGCGTGTCTAGGGTGTTCCTGGGAGAGCCCGGCGGCTGGGGTGCAGCGGCTCGCCCTTCCCGGCGGTGCCCCTCCAGGAGAACTCGGTCCCGGACTCCGGTGACATCTTGCCCTTCCCACCCTGCTTCTTAGCCTTAGTCACTGCGAGGCCTTATTTTTACACTTTCACATATTTTCGTCGTATCTCATTCGTCTGCGGAGGGTGTGTGTTGGAAGATGCAATGGGTGAAAAGATAAGCCTTCAAAATGATATATTTTTTAATATGTCTGCTAAATAAGTCATTTGAGTTTTTGCAGATGCTTAGAGAAGGTGCCTCTCCTCCAGCTTAGTCGTTTAGCAAGTATTTCTTAAGTACAGAGTGTAAGTAGAAGACTTTTTAGAGGAGCGTGCAGTTTATTTGGGATGACAGGATTTAAAGAGACAACTGTAGTGAATCTGGTAGGCCTGTACACTGGTCTTTTAATGAAATATTAATACAGCCTTTTAATGAAATATTTTGGCAGTATTTACCAAGGGCTGAACAAGTTTTTACACTGGTAATAATTGGAAATGTAAGGAACAGGGTAACACCTGGAGAAAAATACTGTTCATAGTGGTGTGTGTTCATTCATTGAATACTTAATAGTCGTTTGCCAAGTGTCAGGCACTGTTCTAGGCACCGGGGACTCAGCAATGCACAAAACAGACAATTGTTGGCCTTCCTGGAATTTAAATTGTCAAGAAGACAGATAATAAACGAAATAAGTATATATATTATGAGGAGGTAAGTTCTTTAAAGCAGAATAAAGCTGGGAAGGGGAAAAGGCTGATGTGTGAGTAAAGACTGGTGAATAAAGATTTAAAAGAGGCAAGGGGGGCTGGGGATTGAGCTCAGCGGCAAAAGCGCCTGCCTGGCAAGCGCAAGGTCATGAGTTCGGTTCCCGGTACCGGAGAAAAAACAAAAAAAAATAAAATAAAATAAAAGAGGCAAGGGAGTGACCATGCAAGCAATACGAGGACAGAGGTAGTTGTCATCAACTTTTTTCAACATAATGGAAACCTAATCATAAGAACCAAACCACAAAATTGCATATATGAGTGTGTAATGGGGAACAGTTAGATATGGAGGTAATTATAGTTGATTAGGGTGATGAGGTTTTTGTTTTGTTCTTTAAAAATAATTTTTTTGTTATTTTTTTTTTTTTCCAGTACTGGGAATTGAACTCACGACCTCGCACTTGCCAGTCAGGCACTGTGCGGCTGAGCTAAATCCCCAGACCCTTAAAAAATAATTTTTGAATATAGAAAATTAACACTGTGAGACAAGAGGTTTTATATCTGCCAGATAAATTTTATAGATGATAAAGGTTATTTTGGGATGAAATGGTTAAGGAAAGCTTCAGTGAATTGGTAAGACTTATTCTAGGCCTTGAAGAATAGAAGATTTTATTTTATTTTTTTTTTTTTTTTTTTTTTTTTTTTTCTCCAGTACCGGGAACCGAACTCACGACATTGCGCTTGCCAGGCAGGCGCTTTGCCGCTGAGCTAAATCCCCAGCCCCAGAAGATTTTATTTATTTATTTATTTATTTATTTATTTATTTATTTATTTATTTATTTATTTATTTATTTATTTATTGTTTTTTTGAGACAGGATCTCACTATACCATTCAGATTGGTTTTGAGCTCATTTTGTAGCCCTAGCTGGCTTCCAACTCCCAATGATTCTCCTGCCTCAGCCTCCCAAGTGCTGGGATTACAGGCCTGCGCCACCACACCTGGCTAAGAATGGAAGATTTTAGAATAGGAAAAATTTACAGGAGGCAGGAAATGGGTAGTAAATGCAAAATCCTAATTCTTTTCTTCTCTTTTGTTATTTTAGTCTTCATTCTTTCTGTTTTTTTGAGATAGGGTCTTACTATGTAGTTCAGGCAAGTTGGTCCTCAACTCACTAAACTCACTATGTAGCCCAGGCTGGCCTTGAACCCACAGTGATCCTTCTACCTCAACCTCTGAGTGCTGGGGTTACAGGTGTGTGCCTCCACGCCTGGCAGTCTTCATTCATTTTGGATAAAGGGCTTTTCATTTTCTCTTTGTGCAATTGATTTACTTACAAGAATATTTGGTCTCAAGATTCTTTCTCCTTACCATTTGGGTAGCTCTGTGTGGTGGATTGACAACTAGTGGTCAACTTGTAGCACCCAGCTGAACTGAACCAGTGTGGTGCTAGGTGTGGGGGGCCCACCTGAGGATTGTTGCCGGCAGCATAAGAGGCAGAACTGGAGAGGAAGACGTTTAGAAGCTGTTGGGGAAGCTTAGGGAGCTGTTGGTTTTCCTGGAGGAGCTTGTCCTGCTGACTTTCCTGTTGAACTTGGTTGTTCTTATCGTCCAAGGAGCTCGGAACCATACTGTCAATGAGAATGGCTACGATTCACTTTGGGGGAGCTCTGGTCCTCACTTTGAGCATTGCTTCCTGGCCCTGGAGGGGAATATGGTGCACTGCTCAGTGTCCTGGAGAAGCTTATTGCCTTGGCTTTCCTGATGGGAACTTGGCTGTTCTCATCATTGGAGGAGCTTGGGACCTCACTGTCACTAAGGATAGCTGTGGTACTTTTGGGGGGAGCTCTGGTTCTTACTTTGAGCATCGCTTCCTGGCTCCAGTGCAGATTCCTCAGCCTGCTAGCACAGATCCTTCATCCTGCTGGCACAGACTTTCTAGTTTCCACCACTGACCTTTGGGCCTTCCCAACACAGATCCATGAAACAGGCCTGAATGCGACATTGTCATGGGCTCTTGACCTCCAGTTGGACTCATAGGAGGCATTGTTGGGGGCTCTAGGTCTTCAGCTGGACTCATGCAGGACATTACCATGGAATCCAGGCCCTCAGCTAGATTCTTTGATCTTTAGTGTGTGGAAAGATTTCCTGCACTCTCTTTGTATATGACTGACTCTTTGGGGGTGACTATTATAAAATAATCTTATAAATCATGTGTCCTGAATTAAATTGTTTCCCCTTGTAAACCCCTGACTACAACATTCTGCTTGTGATATATTGAAATGGAAGCTGGACATTTGGGGACAAGAATTGTTCTAAAATGCTTTTGTATGAAAGAATCCTAGTATTGAGATCCTCCATCCTGGTGATGACAAACCTTTTAGAGCTTTCAGTGACACAACAAAACAGCCCACTGTGGCATGCTGTAGGTTTGCCACCATTGCTCTATGGGAATGGTTTTCTTCGACAGCAGGAAACCTATATTGTTGATTTTTTGGGAATCTCCACATCAGCAGTGTTTATGGTATGTTTTTCATTAAAGCACTCTGCTGAAAAACTCAAGCAATCTTTCATTGCTTTGTCTTACAATATTTAACACCCTTGATGCATCTAAAAACCTGATGTATAGGTCTCTTAATAATGTTATTTGTAGGAGGAGGAAGAAGAGTATAGAGACTTCTCCCAGGGTACCCTGCAGTAAGATCTGTTCTGTAATAGTCTGTTATTCGGAAGGACTGTCTGTCTCTTGGCTGGGTGATTGAAATTAAATTGGGGGCTCAAAGCAATCACGGCAAGCTGAGACGCTTTCATGGTGTTGCCAGATTGCTCCCTTAGGGATACTCACAGATTGGGAATCTGTAACGTAGTGACTTCTCCACCTCTGAGGCTCCCCATCAATAACAGCTGAGATTTTATAGTACCTTTTTGTTTAAAGTGCTCCACAAACTGATTTCCTTGCTACACACAGGAATCATTTGAGCTTTCCCGAAAGACAGAAGCCTCTGTTGTGGAAAGTGACAGCTGTTTTACAGCCGCAAAGCAATGCACTACAGTATGACTTTGTTTTTGTGTCCTTCCACATTAATATATCTTCTAGCTGTGGAGCTAAATAATAAAGAGGGAGAAAATAAACATGAGGGTAAAAATGTCACCCCGTAGGAAAATTAAGACCATTCTCAGTTGATGTTGAACTGGATGAGTAAATTTTAGCTTTTCAAGTTACAATTCTGCTTCGATATCAAGAGTTAGTGGTGGTGCAGAAAGATATTTTTGTCACCTATAAATAATTCCTGAGATTTGTTTCTGTAGAAAATTAATAAAAATATATGGTCCCCCAGCATATAAGGAGGATTATATTTTGCTAGAGCTGTTTTTGGATTACCCTAAGTAAACCTATATTGGAGGATAAAACTAGCTCTTGAGAAGCAACTAAGACTCATGTAGGACAGCTTGTTGAAGAGCCGTGACCTGGTCAGTTTTGCTATCTACTTGATTCTTTTTGGTCTAGTTTCTAGCTATAATCTATGTCTTAAGTGCATTGTGCTTTGCGTGTTACGATTTGTGGGAGGTGTCCAAGAATATCTGCAACATATGTGACCTAACTGCTATTTTTATAACATTTTATCTTTAGTGTGTTAGGATGGAAAGAATATAGATTTTGTGTTTAGGCCTGGATTTCATTATGAGCTCAGGGGCTGGGGATTTAGCTCAGCAAAACAGGGCCTGCCTGGCAAGCGCAGGGTTGTGAGTTCGATTCCCGGTACTGGAAAAAAAAAAAAAAAGAAAGATCATTATGAGCTTAGCATTTATTAGTTACTTAAGGTCTCTGAGCCTTAGTGGTCCTTTGTAAAATGGAGTACATTAAGTTAATCAGATCCACTTAAAGAAAAAAATGTTATGTGAAATGTCATTTAGTGCCCAAATCATTTCAAAAGCACCTAGTAAATACTGGTTTCTTTATTTTTTGGTTTTTTTTTTTGAGACAGGGTCTCCCTATGCAGTTCAGGTTGGTCTTGAGCTCACTTTGTAGCCCAGGCTGGTCTTGAATGGGAATGGGATCCCAACGATCTTTCTGCCTCAGCCTCCCAAGTGCTGGGATTACGGCGTGTGCCACCATGCCTGGCTCTTTTTTCTTTCTAGCTATTTAGCACTATTTAATAAAAATTCTGGCTGGGTATAGTGGTACATGCCTGTAATCCCAGCACTGGGGGTGCTGAGGCAAGAGGATCACTATGAGTTCAAGGCCAGCTTGGAGCAGCATAGTGAATTCAAGGTCAGCCTGCACTACAAAGCAAGACTTTATCTCAAAAAACA